ATTCTCAAATTTGAACTACCCTCGCTCAGAATTTAAGTATTTTTAAAACAGAAATTTCAAGAAATTCTCTCTTCACATTAGGGGATGAAAAAGGTATAAATTCTTGGTGTTTGCCTGTTTTCAACTTAGATCACGTAGATCAACTTAACAATCAAATACTATTGAAATATGTCTGGTCGTGGTAAAGGAGGTAAAGTTAAGGGCAAGGCAAAGTCTCGCTCAAATCGTGCTGGATTACAATTTCCAGTTGGTCGTATTCATCGATTGTTGCGTAAAGGCAACTATGCTGAACGCGTTGGTGCCGGCGCTCCCGTCTACTTAGCTGCTGTAATGGAATATTTGGCAGCTGAAGTTCTTGAATTGGCTGGCAATGCAGCACGCGATAATAAGAAGACAAGAATCATACCCCGTCATTTACAATTGGCCATCCGTAATGACGAAGAATTAAACAAATTGTTGTCTGGTGTTACAATCGCACAAGGTGGTGTATTACCAAACATCCAAGCTGTACTTTTGCCTAAGAAAACAGAAAAGAAGGCTTAAACTATATCTTACAACACTATTTCTTTCGAAATTTTCGAACAACAACCGTCCTTTTCAGGACGATCAATTTATTTAATTAAAGAAAACATACTTCATTTCAAACAATTATTATTTATATAAAAATTTCTTTTAGAGCGTTTTTCGAATAGCAAAGAAAGAAATAAAGGACAAACACAAAATTTTTATATTAATTTTTATTGAAATTTGGCTGACCATACAACGCTGTTTCGAGTATTACCAAATACTCTTCATCAGTGGTCTTAGGTTGTATGCAATTCTATTAAATTTTACTCAAACATGGATTTTATCTCATATATTTTGGCGCGTAAATGCAGATAACAAAATTACTCACGTTCCATCTTCATTTCATTTCGGCTTATAGTTTCTTACTCAATTTTACTCACACTCACACTCATATACTCACACTCATTCGGCTTGGAAGTATATGTATGCATTGTAAATATAGTTCTTGAATGTCCTTGGTTTTCGTGTGAACTGTACTGGCAATTTTGCCAGTTACTTTTTTTTTAATACAAAATGAATGCTATAATAATGCAACCCCTAAACATTTCAGTTCACATACCAGTAGGTAGAAATTTTCCCGCCATAATTTTAACTGCTACCAAACGAAAGATATAATTTTAAAAGCATCTGTGTTATTAAAAAAATATCTTTCTCTCTTTGGAACTTATTTTCTGTGTGGTAGGAAACTGAAGGAAACTGATATATATTTTTTTATAGATTTATTCAATTCAGGTACACATTTAAATACTAAGTGTTACGAGTATAAATAGAATTTCATTATGAGATATTGGTTTTCAATATTGTTTCAGGCCATGTTGCCATGTAAAATCACATTGAGAATGATAGTATAGACAAAAAACTTAAACAATTATTTGTATAATTATTGGAGCTAACAATTAAGTTCTCTATGCATTGTAAACTTTTCTAAGAACCGAAATGTTACATACATCTTTGTTATATTTACTTCTTCTTTATTGAGAAATATCAAATCTTGAAATATTCTCAGACATTTCTATATCTAATACCAGCTTGTCAAAAAAAAAAACAACTTTGAATTTCTACATTAAAACATGTTTTTTGAAAATCAAAGTGAGAAAAATTTCCAAAGCCTCTTACTTAAATTAAACTTCAGTTTATTTTTGTCTTAAAATCTTAATCTTTACAGTCAATACAAATATTTCTATAAATTACTGTCGAGTATGTGTTCAAATGAATTATTTATCTCAAATAATAAAAATATTTGGGTCCTGAAAAGGACCATTGGGCAATATATATTGTTATTGCATTGTTAGTTGAATGTTATTAACTTAACCTCCGAAACCGTAGAGGGTGCGACCTTGTCTTTTCAAAGCATATACAACATCCATAGCTGTAACAGTCTTCCTTTTGGCATGTTCTGTATATGTAACTGCATCACGGATCACATTTTCCAGAAATACCTTCAATACACCACGAGTTTCTTCGTAAATCAAACCAGAAATACGCTTAACTCCACCACGGCGAGCCAAACGTCTAATAGCTGGTTTCGTGATACCTTGGATGTTATCACGAAGAACTTTGCGATGACGCTTAGCACCACCTTTTCCCAAACCTTTACCACCTTTACCACGACCAGTCATTTTGAGTTTATAATTTTAGTACAGATAATACTTGTCTATTCAGACTTAAACAGTAAATAAATTCCACACTAGATACGCACAGTATTTATAGAAAAAATGAACAATACAAAAGATATGAGTGACAATGCTTAAATACAACAAATTACTCAAAGGCACTCAAATAATTTAGGGTAGAAATAAACAATGTAAAGGATATGAAGGATATGAAGGACAATGACTGTTTGAACATGTGAACAGTTGAGATGGATCATAAGAGTTTGTTTTGAAATTTACTCTCTCAACATTTTTTCGTTAAATTAAATTTTATTTAACAATTTGTTTAATTATGGCTCGTACAAAGCAAACTGCTCGTAAATCGACTGGTGGTAAGGCACCACGTAAACAATTGGCTACTAAGGCCGCACGCAAAAGTGCGCCCGCAACTGGCGGTGTAAAAAAACCACATCGTTATCGTCCGGGAACTGTAGCTTTGCGTGAAATTCGTCGCTACCAAAAGAGTACAGAGCTCTTAATTCGCAAACTGCCATTCCAGCGTTTAGTCCGTGAAATTGCACAGGATTTCAAAACTGATTTACGTTTCCAGAGTTCTGCTGTAATGGCTCTGCAAGAAGCTAGCGAAGCATACTTGGTGGGACTTTTTGAAGACACTAACTTATGCGCTATTCATGCTAAACGCGTAACCATTATGCCAAAAGATATTCAATTGGCGAGACGTATTCGTGGAGAACGTGCTTAAGAAGCACTTTTAAAAAAATTTTTAAAAATCGGTCCTTTTCAGGACCAAAATTAATTAAAGAAAAGAGATAGTTAATAGTCATATTCAAATTGATAATACTCAGACGAAATGAATAAAAGCAATCGAAATTCTTTGTAATTTAACTTTTCGTTTATAGTATTTATATATGTTTGTAACACTGTATTTAAATTTCACACCTGGTTACTAGTACTAACCATAAGATCATAACGGGTAATTACTTGGGACCAAGTGGAGTTTGGGCATAAGATCGCCCATGTTATTGAAATTTAGTAGTTATTTTGCTTTGTTGCTTGTTCAAATTATTAACTTAATATAACAATTGAAGGACTTGTATTAAATTCTTAGTACTATAAAGAGATGAAGTTTCACTTTTCACGCTGTGGCTTTCGATTAAGATCGACCAGTAGACACAGTACAAAGTTTTGAATTTATTTCATCTAATAGATAAATAGATTATAATAAAAAAAATTTTGAAATATTACGTAAATGTGAGAACAGAAACAGCATATACTGACTTGAGAAGCTATCTAATAGTTTAAAGAGCTACATCCAAAAAAAAAACACAAATACCATGGATAATATAAAGTTATAGGCATACATGAAGAAGAGTAAATGTGCTAATTTGATGATGAGGTTTAAGTAAGTAATTCAAACGGCTTTATTTTTCATATTTCGAATCCTGTCGATTTAGAATCAAATTTGGAAATGGAAAGCTTTTCATTTGTTAACGATGTCTTGTCAAAGTTGTCAAAACATTTAAAAACTCAAATATTTTACAAATACTCTGTTCTAATTTGATGATCTTCTGTTAAACTATTATAAACTCTGTCAGAACAATTCTTAATAATAACGAAACCAAATCCGATTTCTATTATCTGACAATAGATAAAAACTGCAATTTTGTTTAACATATATAGTTATAGGTCAGTGATGACACCATATACCTCGGCATCATTATTTCTAAATAAATTATTAGGTAAAGTTTTTTTTGAATATACCATATTGTTAATTTTTCTTTGAGAATTGTGACTCTCTGTATTTTAATTGAAACCTAATAACTATGCTATAATCAGAGTGAACTAAGTTCTCTAATTTTTTGGTTTTGATGATATTTTTTGTTCCGATACAAGTACTCAATGCAGTTTACTATTTCAATCGTTTTAGGAATGCTCTTTATTTGTGAAGTCTATACTAATAATTTTAAGATCAATTATCGACTTTAATTAAATATTTTTGTGGCCCTGAAAAGGACCGTTGGAGTTAATGTTGATTGTTCAATACAAAGAAATTTACTTGGAACTGGTATACTTAGTGACGGCTTTAGTACCTTCACTAACTGCGTGCTTAGCCAATTCTCCAGGAAGTAAAAGGCGAACTGCAGTCTGAATTTCCCGACTAGTAATTGTGGATCGTTTGTTATAGTGGGCCAAACGTGAAGCTTCAGCAGCAATGCGCTCGAATATATCATTCACAAAGCTGTTCATGATGCTCATAGCCTTGGATGAAATACCAGTATCAGGATGAACTTGCTTCAATACTTTATAAATGTAAATAGCATAACTTTCCTTCCTCCTGCGCTTCTTCTTCTTATCGTTCTTAGTTATATTCTTCTGAGCCTTTCCGTCCTTCTTGACCGCTTTTCCGCTAGTTTTTGGTGGCATGATTTCAAATGTAAATTTTCAAATTTTCAATTTTTCGAATTCTCAAATTTGAACTACCCTCGCTCAGAATTTAAGTATTTTTAAAACAGAAATTTCAAGAAATTCTCTCTTCACATTAGGGGATGAAAAAGGTATAAATTCTTGGTGTTTGCCTGTTTTCAACTTAGATCACGTAGATCAACTTAACAATCAAATACTATTGAAATATGTCTGGTCGTGGTAAAGGAGGTAAAGTTAAGGGCAAGGCAAAGTCTCGCTCAAATCGTGCTGGATTACAATTTCCAGTTGGTCGTATTCATCGATTGTTGCGTAAAGGCAACTATGCTGAACGCGTTGGTGCCGGCGCTCCCGTCTACTTAGCTGCTGTAATGGAATATTTGGCAGCTGAAGTTCTTGAATTGGCTGGCAATGCAGCACGCGATAATAAGAAGACAAGAATCATACCCCGTCATTTACAATTGGCCATCCGTAATGACGAAGAATTAAACAAATTGTTGTCTGGTGTTACAATCGCACAAGGTGGTGTATTACCAAACATCCAAGCTGTACTTTTGCCTAAGAAAACAGAAAAGAAGGCTTAAACTATATCTTACAACACTGTTTCTTTCGAAATTTTCGAACAACAACCGTCCTTTTCAGGACGATCAATTTATTTAATTAAAGAAAACATACTTCATTTCAAACAATTATTATTTATATAAAAATTTCTTTTAGAGCGTTTTTCGAATAGCAAAGAAAGAAATAAAGGACAAACACAAAATTTTTATATTAATTTTTATTGAAATTTGGCTGACCATACAACGCTGTTTCGAGTATTACCAAATACTCTTCATCAGTGGTCTTAGGTTGTATGCAATTCTATTAAATTTTACTCAAACATGGATTTTATCTCATATATTTTGGCGCGTAAATGCAGATAACAAAATTACTCAAGTTCCATCTTCATTTCATTTCGGCTTATAGTTTCTTACTCAATTTTACTCACACTCACACTCATATACTCACACTCATTCGGCTTGGAAGTATATGTATGCATTGTAAATATAGTTCTTGAATGTCCTTGGTTTTCGTGTGAACTGTACTGGCAATTTTGTCAGTTACTTTTTTTTTAATACAAAATGAATGCTATAATAATGCAACCCCTAAACATTTCAGTTCACATACCAGTAGGTAGAAATTTTCCCGCCATAATTTTAACTGCTACCAAACGAAAGATATAATTTTAAAAGCATCTGTGTTATTAAAAAAATATCTTTCTCTCTTTGGAACTTATTTTCTGTGTGGTAAACTGAAGGAAACTGATATATATTTTTTTATAGCTTTATTCAATTCAGGTACACATTTAAATACTAAGTGTTACGAGTATAAATGGAATTTCATTATGAGATATTGGTTTTCAATATTGTTTCAGGCCATGTTGCCATGTAAAATCACATTGAGAATGATAGTATAGACAAAAAACTTAAACAATTATTTGTATAATTATTGGAACTAACAATTAAGTTCTCTATGCATTGTAAACTTTTCTAAGAACCGAAATGTTACATACATCTTTGTTATATTTACTTCTTCTTTATTGAGAAATATCAAATCTTGAAATATTCTCAGACATTTCTATATCTAATACCAGCTTGTCAAAAAAAAAACAATTTTGAATTCCTACATTAAAACATGTTTTTTGAAAATCAAACTAAGAAAAATTTCCAAAGCCTCTTACTTAAATTAAACTTCAGTTTATTTTTGTCTTAAAATCTTAATCTTTTCAGTCAATACAAATATTTCTATAAATTACTGTCGAGTATGTGTTCAAATGAATTATTTATCTCAAATAATAAAAATATTTGGGTCCTGAAAAGGACCATTGGGCAATATATATTGTTATTGCATTGTTAGTTGAATGTTATTAACTTAACCTCCGAAACCGTAGAGGGTGCGACCTTGTCTTTTCAAAGCATATACAACATCCATAGCTGTAACAGTCTTCCTTTTGGCATGTTCTGTATATGTAACTGCATCACGGATCACATTTTCCAGAAATACCTTCAATACACCACGAGTTTCTTCGTAAATCAAGCCAGAAATACGCTTTACTCCACCACGGCGGGCCAAACGTCTAATAGCTGGTTTCGTGATACCTTGGATGTTATCACGAAGAACTTTGCGATGACGCTTAGCACCACCTTTTCCCAAACCTTTACCACCTTTACCACGACCAGTCATTTTGAGTTTATAATTTTAGTACAGATAATACTTGTCTATTCAGACTTAAACAGTAAATAAATTCCACACTAGATACGCACAGTATTTATAGAAAAAATGAACAATACAAAAGATATGAGTGACAATGCTTAAATACAACAAATTACTCAAAGGCACTCAAATAATTTAGGGTAGAAATAAACAATGTAAAGGATATGAAGGATATGAAGGATATGAAGGACAATGACTGTTTGAACATGTGAACAGTTGAGATGGATCATAAGAGTTTGTTTTGAAATTTACTCTCTCAACATTTTTTCGTTAAATTAAATTTTATTTAACAATTTGTTTAATTATGGCTCGTACAAAGCAAACTGCTCGTAAATCGACTGGTGGTAAGGCACCACGTAAACAATTGGCTACTAAGGCCGCACGCAAAAGTGCGCCCGCAACTGGCGGTGTAAAAAAACCACATCGTTATCGTCCGGGAACTGTAGCTTTGCGTGAAATTCGTCGCTACCAAAAGAGTACAGAGCTCTTAATTCGTAAACTGCCATTCCAGCGTTTAGTCCGTGAAATTGCACAGGATTTCAAAACTGATTTACGTTTCCAGAGTTCTGCTGTAATGGCTCTGCAAGAAGCTAGCGAAGCATACTTGGTGGGACTTTTTGAAGACACTAACTTATGCGCTATTCATGCTAAACGCGTAACCATTATGCCAAAAGATATTCAATTGGCGAGACGTATTCGTGGAGAACGTGCTTAAGAAGCACTTTTAAAAAAATTTTTAAAAATCGGTCCTTTTCAGGACCAAAATTAATTAAAGAAAAGAGATAGTTAATAGTCATATTCAAATTGATAATACTCAGACGAAATGAATAAAAGCAATCGAAATTCTTTGTAATTTAACTTTTCGTTTATAGTATTTATATATGTTTGTAACACTGTATTTAAATTTCACACCTGGTTACTAGTACTAACCATAAGATCATAACGGGTAATTACTTGGGACCAAGTGGAGTTTGGGCATAAGATCGCCCATGTTATTGAAATTTAGTAGTTATTTTGCTTTGTTGCTTGTTCAAATTATTAACTTAATATAACAATTGAAGGACTTGTATTAAATTCTTAGTACTATAAAGAGATGAAGTTTCACTTTTCACGCTGTGGCTTTCGATTAAGATCGACCAGTAGACACAGTACAAAGTTTTGAATTTATTTCATCTAATAGATAAATAGATTATAATAAAAAAAATTTTGAAATATTACGTAAATGTG